AGGGATAGTCGCCATAGTAGGAGATGTGGTAGTAGCTAGAACTGGAGATGAAGCGGAGACAGTAGTAGGAGAGGCGGTAGATGCTATAGCAGCGGAAGTTGATGTAGCAGAAGAAGCCATTGAAGCACGAAAGCGAAGAACTTGGGAAGGAAGGTAAGAAAACAAGGTTGGCCCGTTCCAAAAGTGGAACGACTGTTCTGGACCCTTCGAAACTATGCAAAATTCTCAACTGGAATGACCCGTTCCAAAACCAGAACGGCCTGTTCTCAATCCCAGCAGAACGGCCGGTTCTCCCACCAGAACGGTCCGTTCTCCAAACCAGAACGGGTCGTTCTGCTTCTCCAATTTTGGGCATTTTTCTTATTCCAGAACGGCCCGTTTCACTTTTGAAACGGCCCGTTCCGGGCAATCAATTGGGCCTCTGGCCCAGCAATTTTGGGCTGTTACAATGTTAACTTGTGTAAATCCATTGACATCCTTAAACGTGAGATGAAAAAATGCAGAAATGCCCAGGGTACCACAAAGTGGAGCCTGTACTTTCAACTACAACACCAACTTAGCCACCAGTTTCGTATCATGGAATCCTATTGGAGTCAACGTGCTAAAACTTTCTGGTTAAGAGAAGGGGACTCCAATACAAAATTTTTTCACGCAGCGGTGAACACACGTCGCCAGAAAAATCACATCTCTACCCTTTATGACTCTGAAGGTAAAAAACATTCCACCCCTACTGAACTTGGCAACCTTGCATCCTCTTACTTCTAGAACCTTTTTAACACGCTTCCGGGGGAGATTCACCCTGTAACCGACACCCTGGACTGTAAGATCTCCCAACTAGATAACGGGCAACTCATAAAGCCCTTATCAAAAGATGAAATTCGTACATCTCTCTTTCAGATGCACAAAGACAAAGCTCCTGGGCCAGACGGTTTTAACCCTGGTTTCTACAAAAGATTTTGGGAGGTTTGTGGCGAAGACATTCTTTTCTCTTGCAACTCATGGCTTGAAGCGGGTGTTCTTCCCCCACACATCAATGATGCTGTGATTGCTTTGATCCCAAAATGCCCTAACCCTTCCAACATGAAAGAGCTTCGCCCAATAGCCCTTTGTAACGTGATATATAAAATTCTGTCGAAAGCTCTAGCTAACCGACTAAAACCTCTCCTCCATAAGTGTGTATCTGTTGAGCAGGCCGCTTTTGTTCAAGACCGCCTTATCACGGACAATGTGCTCGTCGCGAATGAAGCCATCCACTACCTACGCTGTAATAATAAGAAAACAAAACACGAAGCAGCTTTGAAGATCGACATAAGCAAGGCCTTTGACAGGCTCTCTTGGAACTACCTGCGTTGCATCATGGAGCGCCTCGGTTTCTGCAACAAATGGGTAAGTTGGATGATGATGTGCATCACTTCTGTTCACTTTCAGGTTCTCCTTAATGGCAATCGCGTTGGCTCTATTGTTCCTGGCAGAGGCCTCCGACAAGGAGACCCCCTCTCCCCTTACCTCTTCATTCTTGGCATGGAAGGACTATCTAGTCTTATCCATAAAGCCGAACTCCTTGCTGCAAGGTATCCAAATCAACCGTGGTGCTCCTAAACTGCACCATCTCATGTTCGCTGATGATGTATTCCTCTTCTTCCAAGCTACTGAGAAAGAAACCAAAGAGGTTGCTTCCATTTTGGAAACCTTCGAGATAGCCTCGGGACAAGCCATAAACTTCGACAAATCCGAAGTGTTTCTAAACAGACATGCACCTCTTGCTATCCACAACATGTTATCAAATATTCTACACGTTCAAAGTTGTGAGACCACTAGTAAGTACCTAGGACTCCCATCTATGATTGGTCGAAATAAAAATGATGTTTTCAGGTACATCAAGGAGAAAATCTGGAAAAAATTACAGTCTTGGAGCCACAAATCACTATCTAAGGCAGGTAAAGAGACCCTCATCAAGACTGTTTTGCAGGCTCTCCCTTCCTATGCTATGAGTGTCTTCATGATTCCCCCCTGAACCATTGACGAGATCGAGAAATTACTAAATGCCTTCTGGTGGGGTGCAAACTCAAATACACACAAAGGAATCAAATGGATGCGTTGGGAAAAGCTTACCATTCCCAAACCCGAGGGTGGACTTGGCTTCAAAAACCTATCTGTCTTTAACCTTGTTATGCTTGGTAAGCAAGCTTGGAGGCTTCTCACCAACCGAAACTCTTTGATCAGCAAAATATACCATGCCAAATACTACCCCGATGGTAATTTCCTCAATGTTCCTCTAGTCATAACCCCAACTACACATGGAAAAGTCTTTGGAGCACCCAACATCTCCTCAAGAATGGCACTCGATGGAGGCTTGGGACTGCTAATACCATTCCTGTCTGGGGTGAGCCTTAGATCAAATACAATAACAACTACCATTGGATTCATCCTCATGACCCCTCAAACAACCATGCTCTTAAAGTTTCCGATTTAATGAGCAATATAAGCTTGATTGGAACGCCGACTTGATTAACTCCATCTTTGACACAGACACCAGTAACCATATACTCAACATCCCCATCCTCAACCCACACTGTGAAGATAAACGCATCTGGAACTGGAACCCCTCTGGTTCTTAC